GAGAAGAGGCTTTTGGTCAGCAGTGGCCACTTAGAGGCTGTTGATGATATGCGCGATCCCTATCCCTAGAGGTAAATACATTCAAACATGGTAATAGATCGTTATGCCTCAAGTTGCTATTGAAAAATGTCAATATAATCTGTAGGAAATACATGCTTCGTCACGAAAAGGCCACCTCTACCGGAGTGATACCACGCCCTCGCAGAAAATTGACGTGAAATATTAATTTATAGATCATCCAAAGAATCATTCCGTGGGGAAATAGACTCCACTACACGAGCTGGTCGCCCAGCTACTGCGCTATTTATGAAAAATACTTCAATATACACGACTGTCTGCTCCTTCCTGGTATAAAGACGTCATAATATTATGTTAGCAATAAAGTCCATAATAAGCATGTCTGCTTACCTCTTAACGGAATAAATGCGCCATACTATGTAAAGGACTGCCTCGTTGGCTGAGTGGTCGCAAAGGCGACTGCTAGGCAAGGGGTCTCGGGTTTGATTCCCGGGTCGGGCAAAGTTGGGACTCAACATAAATAGTGAAAAGTGGGTGTAACATTGTACAATGGCATTAAGTGCCGAAATGTGCACCTCTGCATACCCATCCGGGATAAAAGGCGTGACGTTATGTTATGATACTGTAAATAAGATAAATATCAAAACAATACAAAGTCCAAAATTCAACCACAGAAAAACACCTGAATTATTTCTTAGAAGTAATAAATAATTCATGATTTCGCTGATTCACGTTGACTCAATAACATTTCGTGATAAAATTATATTAATCATCATGACTACAGGAGGAATGGACATATTTTATTATGATTTATATTAGGTATTTATGCTCACTAAGTTTTAAAATGTTATTATCCTCTTATGTCGACCAAAGATCAAATCACCTGATAGGTACCTACTTATTTCTTCGATAATGTAATTGACTAAAAACATGCTATAAAGGTCCCGCTGTGTATACCGGCGACATTGTCAAAGTCGTAGGAAGTCATTGGATGTAAGATGCGAGCTGTCGTCCAACGTGGAGAACTAAGGGGCCTCCTCCTTTGCTCTCCTTTTGTCCAACAATGGACGTCTTCTATCGATGATGATACCATAAAGGTATTTATTTTTATGCCGGTGGGAAACCTTCAAAATGCGCTTGTCGTTTTTTTATAGCATAAACCGGTAAACGAGCATACAGATCACTTTATGGTAAGCAATCGGCGCCGCCCATGGACACTCGAAACACCAAGGCGTTTACTAGTGCGTTAGAGGCCTTTTGGGAATTGGGAATTTGAGGATTGTGAAGGGTTCGGGGATTCGGGAGACGGGGACTAGGGAGGGGGGTAATTCGGCCTCCGGTAACCTCACTCACACGACGAAACAACGCAAGCGTTGTTTCACATCGGTTTTCTGTAGGGCCGTGGTATCACTCCAGTTGAGCCAAAGCATGGCTTTCCCACACTTAACGTTCACTATCTCTCACATTTTCGAAATAAAAGACTAGGGATAGTGAGTGTGGCATTTTTACCTGAATAAAACTTTTTTTTTATATATATAGGTATATTTTAACGGCCGACATTTGACCACTATCTCGCTTGGTGGTAAGCGATGATGCCATCTACGATGGAGCACGTCGACGCATAACCATCGTATTCACCCGGGCATAGAAGCCACCCAGGTTATACTATACCTACCCTTCAGGAAATACAGACTCTGGCAAATAATTCCAATCCTTAGCAATACGCACAAGGAAGCTTGATGCGAAGCGCTTCGTGCGTGTTCCTCCTCGGTAGGCGGCCTCAGCACCTCTAAGGGACACCGAATACTCTAACAGACCTGTCCTGGCGCTCCCACAATGCAAAGTCTGTTACGGCACATCCCTTGGGAGACATGCGTCTCCCTTGAGCCTCGCTGTGACCACCTCTAAAATAACACAGGCTACTTTTTATCGCAAAGTCCGCCGGCGAAGCCACTGGCAGAAGCTAGTACAATATTAAGTGTGGAAGAGCCATGATTCGGCACGAATGGGCAGGCTCGACCGGAGTGATACCACGGCCTCATAGAAAGTCGACGTGAAGCAACGCTTGCGTTGTGTTTCGTCGTGTAAGTGAGGTTACCGGAGGCCCAATTACCCTCCCCTTCCTAATCTCCCCAATTCCTGAATCCCCAACGATCCTCAAACTCCTAATTCCCAAAAGGCCGGTAACACACTTGTAATGCCTCTGGTGTTCCAGGTGTCCATGGGCGGTGCCGATTGCTTACCATCAGGTGATCCGTCTGCTCGTTTACCGGGTTATGCCATAAAAAAAGTTAACCTTTCGTGTGTCTAAGATGTGGATCCACGTGAGACACAATGTATTTTCTATTGTCTCATATTCAAAAGGTTAAATAAATATTTTATTGATTTATTTTTAGCCGTGGTCGTCCCACTGCAGGGCAAAAGCCTCCCTACCCTCCTTCCACTCGTCTCTTCTTAAAGCTTTCTGCGGTCAATCCTTTTCATAGGCGTCAAATTCATTCCGCCATCTCCAAAAAATAGGTACTTAAATAAATTATTTACGACGCTAAGGACGGTATATACTGATTAGGTACGATACATATAAATTGGTAAGTAGGTACCAAGATATAGATAGACCCCACCAACGATCATTATCACAATTGATTATAACAATAAATCGATTAATACAATTACATAATCATTATATATTGCTATATTGTACCGACTTCATCAATATTTTTCCAATATTTATCCCAATTTTTCATTATTAAAATCAAGTTGAGATTTTAGTTATGACGTCCCGTCAAGTCCCAAAATCCCGTATCATCTTATTATGGGATTTTTTTAAGAGGGAAAAATCATCGAATGACTGCTCCCGCCTGGGTGAGGCAGGAGGGAGTGTCAGACTCTTACTGACTAAAAACCACCCCGTTCCTTCTCCTGTAGGTACATTGAGCCGGAGCCCCGGTAACCCATTAGGTTCTCTGCGACTTTTTAAGTTAGTAATAGCCGATTTTTCAATGCTCAGATAAATTTTAAATGAAGAATAACTTTCAATATTTGACAATCCTTCCATACTAAAAACTGTCAACTGTCAATTTTATTCCACAATTAACTGATGATTGAAAAATCGTCCTTAAATGAGCAGAAGAATCACCTGATAGTAAGAAATCGGCGTCGCCCATGGACACCTGGAACACCAGAGGCGTTACAAGTGCGTTACCGGCCTTTTGGGATTAGGAATTTGAGGATTGTTGGGGATTCGGGGAAGGGGGGTGTAATTTGACTCTCATTTGACAAAATTATAATAATTTGGCCTAAATATTCTACTGGAGTAGGTAATTATTCTTTATCTCAAACAAACATGTATTGTTTCATCAAAATTGTTTTATTTCTTAATAGAAATATCTACTTTTAAAATTCTAAATGCTATGAGTAAACATGTATGGTACCTACCTGCCTACTTTAAAAAATTCCCCCCAAATTTTCCTCTACGGTCGCAGGAAATCCTGAGATTGAAATTTGAACTTCCCAAATGTCTTCTGAGAATCTCAGCTCAAAAACCTACAAGGAAATATTACATAACATCACGCCTTTTTGTCCCCGAATGGGTAGTGTATGGCTCAGAGATAATTAGAGTTCGGTGAGTTTACAGCAAAACCACGGTTGAGTACTAGACATAGTTTATTTCTAAAAGTTACAAAGTATAAGTTGTATGCCAATCAGGGCCATTTGCAATTTGTCAACTACAGTTCATTGTTCAGTGAATATTATTATATATACTAATTAAGGTCGCATCGTCAGCAACCAAATCGTTGTACGTGAACCGTACAGGTAGGTAGAGGTGCACATTAAATTAACAGGTAGGACTTAATGCCACTGTACAATGTAAAACCTACTTTTCAATATTTATGTTATAAGTCCCATGTAATAGGGGACAATTCCAGACTCCGTGCTACTATTGAGATTTTTTTAAAACCCAGTAATACTTTGCCCGACCCGGGAATCGAACCCGAAACCCTTGCCCGGCAGTCGCACTTGCGACCACTCGGCCAATGAGGCCGTCACCTATTTACCTACACACAAAAAATATAATCAAGTATTTATTGCATCCATAATGTACACATACAGGTGGTTAGAAAATACAATTAGTAACAATTATGGACCCTATCGGGCACAGCAACATTTAAAATTGGTAGGAAGGGCATTTTGTTTGTATACTATTAATTTAAGTAAATGACACGTAGGTAGGTATCTAAACAATAAACTATATCTAAGACGTAACTGTTATGTTATCGTAAGTAAAATGTAAAAAACAAGAGTAATATCTTAATAATGCCATAAAAATATAATTGCATTTTTATCTTGAAATAAAGACATTATCACACTTCAATATCCCCCGCGGGGGAAGACTGCACCATAGAACAATTACGTAATATAATTATGCATATCTACAATATCTACAACTGTTCAGTTGTTTAAGTTTTGTCAGTCTTTTAGTTTGTTGCCAGTCTTTTTTTAAGGGGGGCAAATCATCGAATGGCTACTCTTACCTGGGTGAGCCGGGAGGGAGCGTCAGACTCTTACTGACCAAAAACCACCCCGTTCCTTCTCTTGCTCTTCGACTCGGAGCCCCGGCAACCCGTTAAGTCCTCCGCGGCTCCGTATCGATAAGTCTTAGTGTGGAGCAAACTCATCTGGTGTTAAGGACGTCCATAAGTGATGCTGATTGCATACTATTATGTGATTTACGTTTTGGTCTACAAAAATAAAGTAATTTTATAAAGTAAGTATACAAAGTCGAGGGACAGAAGCTAGTTCGCGTATCTACCTACACATAAACAAACAATAACAGCGAACATTATCTTTAACATGTTTTATCAAAGTACATATTTGTATTAGGTACTAATCAAAGCGTATCGTTAGTTCGACGCGAGAATTTGACTCGCACACACGTGTTTTACTTTATAAAAAATCAAAAAAAAAAAAAAAAAAAACAAAAAATGTTACGTCAACCTAATTACATTTATGGGCCAAATACGGCTACTGTACCAGCTACAATTAATTTTGGTGAATACATGTTGCAACAATTGTCGAAGTTTAAGGATAATACGGCTTTGGTAAGTATGAAACTTAAGTACTATTTCATCATCAACAGCCTATAAATGCCCACTGCTGAGCAAAGCCTCTTCTCACAAGGAGAAGGTTTGAGCATTAATCACCACGCTTGCTCAATGCGGGTTGGCAATCACAAACTTATAATTAGAAATTACATAAGCCCAGGTTTCCTCACGATGTTTTCCTTCACCGTTTGTCAGTGGGGTCTGAATCTTAGAAAGTAGATATAACTCGGAAAAAGTCACATTGGTACTTGCCGTTGGTAGGTTTCGAACCCTCACCCTCATACATGAGAAGCGCTCGTCTTAAACCTTCGGGCCACCACGACATTTACTAGTACTATTTATTTAGGTTTAATTTTGAATACGTAACACGTAAAATAGCCTAATATTGTAAGGTGACTTAGCTAAGATGTGTGTGCTTTAGATAATTAGTATGTAACTATGAATACTTTATTTAACCCGTCGTGTCTAAACGCGGATTCACGGGAGACACAATGTATTTTCTATTGTCTCATATCGGTGCATTCAAGCAGTTAAACAACACAAAAATGAATTATTAAATTCGAACTAGTAGATCCGGAGATTAACGCGTTCAAACTTCTATAACCGTATTGTAACTTTCGTGAGACATTTTTTTCATGGCATAAGCCGGTAAACTAGCAGACGGATCACCTGATGGTAAGCAATCGGCGTCACCCATGTCACCGTAGGCGTTACAAGTGCGTTACCGGCCTTTTGGGGATTAAGAGTTTGAGGATCGTTGGGGATTGGGGAGATTGGGGAAGGTGAGAATAATTGGGGCTCCGGTAACATCACTCACACGACGAAACACAACGCAAGCATTGTTTCACGTCGGTTTTCTGCTCTGCCGTGGTATCACTCCGGTCGAGCCGGCCCATTCGTGCCGAAGCATGGCTCTCCCACATGACTTATAATGTACCTAAAAGTATATTAAAATAGAAATTATTATAATCCAAGTACACACAACACAACACTGATATCAGTGTTGCCATTATTTAATTTTAATATTACATGACCTTCTGCTCATGAGGAAGAACCCCTCTGTGGTTCGAAACTAGTAGAGGTTTTCTCAGTATATTCACGTGAGTAACCCGCGATTTTAGTTATTGTTTCATTCAATTTAATTGATTTTTCAATGACTTTATACTAGTTGCACGGATGGCGCGGTGGCTGAGCAACCGGCTGCCGCGCAACATGTCGCGGGTTCGATTCCCGCACGGAACAACTGTTTGTGTGATCCACAGATTGTTGTCCCGAGTCTGGATGTAATGTGTACGTGAACTTGTATGTTTGTAAACGCACCCACGACACAGGAGAAAATCCTAGTGTGGGGCAACGTTTTTTAAAAAGAAACAAACCTAATTATTTGCCAAATCGGTTCAGCCTTTCTCGAGTTTTAGCGAGACTAACGAGAAAATCATTTTTATTTATTTTACTAGGATTGACATCTTCGTTTTAGGAGTAAAACCCTATATTTATTATTTAATAATGATTGAAGATGCACGTCGAGCCGGAGCCCCGGTTACCCATTAGGTTCTCCGCGACATCTCGCGTACTACCTACTCGAACAAGCGCACGCACCGAACTTCATAAATTTAATTTAATTAACTTTACGTAATGTAACGTAGTGACAGTTTGTATCATATATATTATCAATTACATTTTACTTACGAGTGATAGCGAACTTGTATTTAGATAATAAATGTTGTTGTCATTGCGTCCGTCACAATAATTATATAACAGTTTGATAAAAATATTTACTCATTACTTGTTTTGATGATAACGTATTAGGTAGGGAACTAGGTAGGCACGATAAATAAAATAATACATAAAATAATTAACTTTAAAAAAAAAATAAAACCGACTTCAAATGCGAGAACACAAAAAAAAACTAAAAATTAAAAAATAATTCCTAATACCTATTACCTAATACTATAATTTTTCTAAACTATATCAAAGTAATTAAAGTTAAACCATCTAAATATCTTAAAATAGTTATACTTATATACCTACCTATTGTTTTTTGGAGTCGGTGCCAGTGCCAGCGTATTAAAGTTTACCCGCGAACTAGAGACGTGCGACGCGGTGGCGGGGGACGCATGGCGCGAGGCGGGGCCGCGCGGTGCGGCGGGGGACGCGGGCGCGTGCGGTCTTGCTCGAGTAAGCGACCCGAAGGCGGGCAGACGCTTGAGGGCAGACTACGTTGACGTTCGTGTCAAAAATACTGAATTTTCGGATGCGCAATATTTCAAATTATTGCTTTCTTTTTTGTTTGTTGTATTCTATTGTAGGATTTGTAGGTATTTGTTATTCTTTGTTGGTATAGGTTTAGTTGTACCAGGCTACATACAACTTATTTCTTAATATTTTTGTTTCATTGAGTACTTTTTCTTATTTCATTAGGTTTAATATTCATTTATTACTGGCACCGACTCCAAAAAACAATAGGTAGGTATATAAGTATAACTATTTTAAGATATTTAGATGGTTTAACTTTAATTACTTTGATATAGTTTAGAAAAATTATAGTATTAGGTAATAGGTATTAGGAATAATTTTTTAATTTTTAGTTTTTTTTTGTGTTCTCGCATTTGAAGTCGGTTTTATTTTTTTTAAAAAGTTAATTATTTTATTTTAAAATTTTTAGTGTTACTTTTTTGTAGATACCCTTAGTGCATTTAATATGGGTAGGCCTACTAAACGCGCAGCCTTAATGAGACAGCGCCGTTTGGAAGAAACAAAAGAAAGGGAAGTGCGTTTAAAAGAAAGTAGAGAAAGAAATGCTAAAAATATATTAAAGGAGAGTGATGAGCAGCGGACTTCTAGACTTTCATAAAAAATTTCATCCCCAATTTTCCACCCTTGGGGGTTGAAATATTTTCTTCAAATTCGCATGAAACCATCCTTTTGATAATACCTATTCAACAAAAAAATAATAGTTCAAATTGGTTCATAATCGGCGGAGATATTGCGTATAAAAAAATTCATCCCCTATTTTCCACCCTTGGGGGTTGTTATTTTTATTAGTAAATTTAAATAATAATAAATAATAATAAATAATAAAATGTTTATTTCGTGTAAAAAGCCAGGTTACAAAATAAATCTTAATATCTAAACAAAGTCTAAAAATATTAGAAACCTGAACTAGGTCCAAGCCTGTGTTTCAGGTTAAAAATGTACTGAAATATTTAAAATACAATAATATTGCTTTAAAACTAAAAAATTTTATGTCTAAATTAAATTAAGCTAGTCTCTAAGTATAACAGGTGCGCGTGTACAGTTTCATAAACAAACGTAAGCAAAAATAATCTAAGTCAACTATAATAAAATTATTTGCTTACTTCAAGTAATTCCTCGGTTTGATCGTATGTTAAGGTGTGTACATAATTATGTAATAGTTTTTTACAGTGAAAGTGATTGAGGCTATAAATACTTAAATCTCTATTTATTCTATTGTATAAAAATGGGCCAAGAAAGGTAAAGAATCTTTTTATAAAAGCGTGTTTTGACACTGAGGTTGAAGTGCAAACTATATCATTCCGCCTTTTGTTAGTAAGGTTATTAATATTGAAGCTGAGTAGTGAATGTTGTTTGAGTATTAGCTGTACTACATAGATTTGGCGAACAGTTAAAACTTTGCAGGATCTATATAGCATGATGTAGGAAAGAGAAAGGGATGGGAAAATGCAACTTTCAGGATGGCTCTCTGAGCACGTTCTAGAGGGAGTATAATAGTTTTTGATGCGCCACCCCAAGAAGTAACACAGTACTGGATAATTGACTGACATAACGCTAGGTAGATTTGAGTGATTAGTTTAACATCTCCGATTTGTCTAATTTTTTTAAAAATGTACATCAATTTCCTGACACGTGCAACCAAAGCGCTGATGTGTTGTTTGAAACAAAGAGTTTCATCAATTGTGATGCCTAGATATCTGATGGAAGTAGTTTTTAATATACAAGGGCAGTTGCATGTGCCCAGTGGACTAATTCTACATTTATGTGCGTATAATTGGGGTGTAACAGAGGTAATTGGATTCTTGCGCATAGAAAAGTGAATAAATTTTGTCTTCTCCGCATTTAGTGTTAGTATATTAGAGCAAAGCCAACTATTAACTGAATCGAAAGCAATTGAGCATTACAGTACAGTTCAGTGTCGTTATTGGATGAAAAAATTAGGGCCGTGTCGTCAGCGTATGATATTAGTCTCCCATGATGCATCTCGATGTTACATAAATCGTTGATATAGATCAAAAATAGGGTAGGACCAAGAATACTCCCTTGAGGCACTCCAAAACCCGTATTTTTCTGGAATGAGCTTGTGACGTCATCTATTCTAACACACTGGTAACGGTCATCTAGATAATCAGCAAAGAGGTTCAGTTGAGTGCCTCTGATACCCATACATTCCATCTTCTTTAGAAGCAGTGGAATAGACACAGTATCAAAAGCTTTGGCAAGATCAATAAAAATTCCTAGAACGTGGTTGCCTTTACCGAGTTCTTCTGATATGAAATCTGTGAGTGTATGTACTGCATCAGCTGCTGACAATTTTGCTCTAAAACCAAATTGCAGTGGTGACAAGAATTTATTCATTTCTAGGTAATTTACCAATCTGATGTTAATAATCTTCTCAAGAATTTTAGATATCGATGGCAGTAGTGAGATAGGCCTATAATTATTAACTAGATCCTTGTCACCTGATTTGAATATAGGGACAACCACTGCCCTTTTAAGACATTTTGGAAAAATGCCTTTAGAGAGACACTCTCGAAAAACATGAGTCAGAGGTGGGACAAAAATTTGCTTATATGTTTTCAAGATCCTATTGCTGATCCCATCACAACCAGTTGCACAATTATCTTTCATTCCAGTTATGATTCGTGCAATTTCCTGTTCGTCTGTATCTAATAAAACAAATGATTTTTCAGTATTTGAGTGTAGTAAAGGTGTATTAGTCCGGGTTGTAGAGTCTAGCT